AAACCTGTTGACTTTTTCGCTTATCATTTTCTTCACATATCAGTCAATAATTTTGACCTTGGCTTTCCTAATTTAACAGTGAGCCTGATCAACACAAAATGTAAAACTTAAAGTTCTGTTTTACTTAAAGCCTTATGTGCCTTTTACTGATTTGTGCATGCTACTACAAATAATAATAATAATACAAAGAAGAAAAAGAAGATGAAGAAGAAGAAATGTAATCATCATCATCATGTGAAAAGTTCTAAGTGAAGTTCTTCTTATTGTTAGATGCTAACGACCTTCATGGTTACATAAAATTCTAATTAAAGTAAATTATTTTCATGAGTAAAAAATTCAAAACATAGAACAAGCATGCATGTACCAAAAGGTTCTCTACCCAGGTTCTCAGACTTGTCTTCGCTGTGACAGTCATGCAGTCTCTAATGATGCTATTGAATTGTATGTTGAAGTAGTGCCATTGTTGTTAAGTCTAACTTTAATGCTGTAGTATAAATATGCTAAATATTTTTAGTTTTCATATTGAATAGGCACTATGCTTATTAATACTTAAACACCAATAATGCATGGCTAAGACTATCTTGGTTGCAATGAGAGAAGAATCCAAATGCTAATAGGCCTTGTCACAGGGTATGGACACAGTATTCTGACTATGAAAACTAAACATAAACTCACAAAAGCGCTGAAAAATAATATAAATATAAGTTTTTTCATTTGGAAATGAAATGGAAATAAGTCTCAGTGTTTATTGTATAAGCTATTTGTGTTGTGATGGTGTGTGATAGCACAGTTCTTAAGGAGATCATAGTGCTGTTTCTTTAAAAATATTGAATGATCAAGTATAATTAATCAACCACATTAACAACACACACTTATGTCTAATCATGATCCACTGCATGTCTTAGTGTCCATCAAAAGTCAGTTGTAAACATATTGACATTGGAGAGCTATAGTTTTAAACAGCCACGTGCTACTAAAAGGTGTTAACCAAAGGAAATGTGCACTGCATCACAACTTTTCAGTGCTGCAGAGTTCTCACAGCAAGAGCAGATGCACTCACTTGTAGTTTGTAATTTGTGGTGGCATCATCACTCACCCCCACCCAAACAATCACTAAACAGTGTGTACATCCTGTATATCAGAGATTAGATCTATTTTCACCAATGACACTTGCAAACTGCACATCAACAAGTGTACTAAATGGGCTCTGGGCTATGTTCACCCAGTCTTGATGCAAATGTGGTTCATGCAGTAGGTACACTGTAAAAAACGAAAAGTTAGCTCAACTTATGGAACTGGATTCTTTCCTCACACAGTCCCACCAGGCATTTTCTCCTCTTGAGCTTTCAATTATGGATGACTGTGGCATCACTGGGTTTCAAACTCCTGAGTTTGCAGCAGGTTACTACAGTTTTTACATTTTACAGTGTCTTAAACATTTCTGAACACAGAAAACAGCAACAACTTCAGGGGTATATGAATTGTGCAAGCTTCCCAACATCAGTAGATGGTGAGTTTGGACCCCAGCAATGCAACAGCCCTCCATAACTGGAATCCCAAGAAGAGAAACTGCCCAGTGGGACTGTGAGATGAGTCTCAGCTAGCAGAGAAGTTGAATACAGAAGACATTCTACTTTTGAACTTAGATCTTAGAACTATGAAGAAAAAACTTTATTCTAAGATGTTAAACTTTTGTTTTTCTTAAATCTTTATTTGTTTGTTTGTTTCTTGCTTTGTATTTATTCGTTTACAAATTGTTTTGGGTCTTTTATTGGTATTCAGACAAATTGTCTTGGGTGTCTGTTAATCAGTTTTATAGGCAACGTGGCAACTCAAATGATTGTCACCGTTGGATATATATAGATATAGTTAGATATAGTTATAGATATAGATATATTGATTATATAGATATAGATATATTGAAGTAGTGTTATAGATATAGATATGTTATTTTTGTTTTGTACAATGAAAATGAGGAAAGGAGCAAAAATTCAAAGGTTTGGGTACGCCAAGAGAATCAAGCTCTCAGATAACTAAGGCCTCAGACATTAATTAGCTTGTTATTGTGAGGAAAGACCAGTTGATACCAGTAAAAACTCTCCTACTCCTCAAACCTTATCCCAACAATCGGCAGCCATGGGCTCATCTAAGCGGCTGCCTAGCACTCTGAAAATTAAAATAACTGATGTCCACAAAGCGAGAGGAGATTATAAGAACATAGCAAAGAGTTTTCAGGTTGCCAGGTCCTCAGTTCGTAATGTAATTAAGAAAATGGCAGTTAAGTTGAGGTCTGGAAGAAGAAAAAAACTTTCAGGGAAAACTACTCATAGGATTGTTAGAAAGACAAATCAGACCCCTTTGACTGCAGACGACCTTCAGGAAGATTTAGCAGAGTCTAGAGTGGTGGTACACTGTTCTACTGTGCAGTGGCACCTGCACACATATGACCTTCATGGAAGAGTCATCAGAAGAAAACCTTTCCTGTGTCCTCACCACAAAATTTAGTGTCAGAAGTTTGGAATATCTAAACAAGTCCTGTGGATTGATGATTAAACTAGACATTTTTGCCACAATGGTTTGGAAAAAAAAATGGTGCAGAATTTCATGAAAAGAGCACCTCTCCAACTGTTAAGCAGGGGGTGGATCGATCATGATTTGAGCTTGTGTTGCAGCCAGTGGCAATGGGAACATTTCACTGGTAGAGGGAAAAATGAATTAAATTTAATCCCAGAAAATTCTGGAAGCAAACATCACACCATCTGTAAAAAAGCTTAAGATGAAAAGAGGATGGCTTCTACAACAGGATGATGATCCTAAACACACCTCAGAATCCTCAATGGACTACCTCAAGAGGCACAAGCTGAGGATTTTGCCATGGCCCTCACAGTCCCCTGACCTAAACATCATCGAAAAAAACTTTTTTACAAGGAAGAATGGGCGAAAATCCCCCAAACAGGAATGGAAAAATAAAAAAGTCCACTGAAGATCATAAGTATGACTCGATATGTTCAAGTGGTTTTGGTTGGAAACAAGATGAATGCATTGGAAATAATGCATTTTTGCTTACTTTTGTTTTACTGTCATCAAAGAGAGTAACTTTATTTTTGTTACTCCAACAAAATAAAGACCAAAAGATGCACACTAGATGAGTTTTTATGTTTTTATCCAGTTAGAAGCATCATAAAGCATATTGTCACTGTCCAAAAAAACATATATCTCCAAAATAGTAAGTTTACAGCAGAAGGCAAAGACATTCTTAAAGTTAAATGACAGTTAATGTAGAGGGGTTTTCTTCCAAGTAATTCTGGAGTATTTATATTGCTTCATTCACCATAACATTTTCAAACAATGTAAAATAAAGCTACCATGTTTAAATGATGTTGAAAAGAACAAATTCAGAAATGAGGATACATGTGTTTCTAGGGACAGCAATGATATGCACATGTCTGTTTTTTGCATGAGAGTAAGACAATAAAAAAAAGCCTGCAGGGTTCATTTGTGGCTGCTGAATTATTAAAATTCACTAAGTTTACCTGTTTCAAAACTATCTTTATTTAGATTTTGCATAGCATCCCAGCTTTTTGGAACTGAGGTTGTGCAATACAACCATTGCTTTTTCAATGACACACCACAAATTTGGAAAGTCATATTGAAACTGAAAAAAATCTGAACTGACCACTATAACTGCCATTCATGTGTACTTCTCTTTTAAATACAATATAAACTGAAGGCAACATTAAGTCACCTTTCCCTGTTTTGCATGTATGTTGTTGTAATATTTGTTTAGTTAATTTTCTGCTGTTTCACAATTTTCTGACATAATTCAGCAGAGACATATTAAGAAATCATCCATTCCTAATACACAGTTAACACCAGTGTTGAAATGTAACCATTAGCGGTAGGCCTCCACTTCAGGCCATAATTCTCAAAACTAATTGTCAGAAAGATTAGGAAAAAAATAACTTCTATGATAATGCTAATTTCTGCTAGGACCCCTAGGGGGAGTTTAGTAGTATGTTATCACTAAGATAATGTTGACTCACATGAATACTTTTTGGCAGTTCTAGATTAAACATGGCCATCTCAAGCTTGTAAAAGAGATGCCATGTTTTGTTTGAAGTTTGTAACAGACATTAACCTATTTTACCTTGTAGCAGTTTTACAGTGACTCTTAGTAAAGAGCCCTGGCATAGAACTGCCTCTGTTGCCCCGTAACTGAAACACATTGCTTCAGCCAATCACTCATATCCACAGTCAGTGACATACCTAAGACTTCCAGAAATTGTTTCCAGAAAATTGGTCCATCTCATTTGAAATAAAAACGTGATTCAATTGTGGCTTCCTAATTATGTTAGTTGTTAATCTAACATGCTAGGCCTTCAGTTCAGCTCCTGAGGTCCTAACCAATGGGAAAGTTAACTTGGCTATATCTACCGATATACCACAGAAGAAAAAACTTTTATTGGATAATTTTCCATCAGGTTTTTTTTTTTTAAGAATTTAACCGTTTTGTTTCATACAAATTAAAGAGAATTTAAAAAAATTACTGTAATATTTACAGAGTGTAAAAACAATGACTTTATTAAACCAAAATGTCATCCATGTTTTCATTTCACAGAAAACATTAGGCCTTCTCAGAAGGCTTAGAAGACATTGAGTTTTCCTTGGCTAACACTGAAGCAATTATTAAAATATATCAGAGGTACATAAAATACCCAAACATTTGTGGACACCTGCTTGTCCATCATTTCTTCTGAAATCAAGGGTATTAATAGTGAGTTTGCTCCCCCTTTGCAGCAGTAACAGCCTCTACTCTTCTGAGAAAACTTTATACTAGATGTTGGAACATTGCTGTGAGGATTTGACTGCATTCAGCCACAAGAGCTTTAGTGAGGTCAGGTACTGATGTTGAATGATCAGTTCTGGGTCACTCCAACTCATCCCAGAGGTATTGGATGGAGCTCCATCACTCCAGAGAACGCAGTTTCACTGCTCCACAGCCCAGTACTGGGGGGGGGGGGTTATATCCCTTTAGCTGATGCTTGGCATTAGGCATGGTGAGTTTAGGTTCATGTGCAGCTAGTGTCCCATTCTATTGGCAATGCTTTTTCGTGTGGAAATTACAATAGCATAAATTTATGCCTTTGTCAAAACTTGTAGACATGTAGAGTAAGTCTGGTTTATGTTCTAATGCTCTAATGTTTACATAGTGATGAAGAGTTTTCATCTCACGCTGCTCTGTCTGTGCTGGTCTGGCATCGCTGAATACTCAGCATAGATTGGGTTATCACAATGTCCTTCTGAAAGAGGAAATATTTATTTGTAATCAACAGAGTATTATGGGGACAATGAGTAGGCTTTCTGTAAAGTAATGTAAAAACGTTGCTGATAAGTGAGAGTGTGAATATTTACCATTTGTATTTTGGCTGTCCTTCATTTTGTAGTTAGCAGAGTCATATATTGGGTTTTCACGTGTACCTTCTGGAAGAAAAGACATTTAAATCATCTCTCTCTCTCTCTCTCTCTCTCTCTCTCTCTCTCTCTATATATATATATATATATATATATATATATATACTTATACTCTACACATATATATATATATATACTTATACTCTACACACATATATATATATGTAAGAAATGTGTTCCACATGTTATTCTGGTTATTAGTTCTCTGGCATTATTTCGTGGGTTATGACAAGGACTTTTATTGTGTTAGCTGTTAGCTGCTTTACTCTACATTTACGTCTGTACTACAAACTTGGATTTGCAGGAGTGCTTACCTGAGCTAAGCTAAATCTAGCCATTACGCTGAAGACTTGCTTATTTGCACAGCATGGCTTTGGCTGATACAGCCTTTAAGAAGGCACACGAATCATGAAGTACGCTGTAGAACACTATTAAACGAGCGAATGCTGGCCAAAACAAAAGGAACAGCACAGGCAGTGAACAAACAGTGACTGTGACGGGTCAAACGTCAGACTTCTGCCACATTTCCATCAACATTGAAGGGGTTCCATGCATTGCTCTGCTTATATGTATATATAGTAGCAATTTTAATGCTTAATTTGAAAGCTTACTCCAGGCTACCTACTCTGAGTTAACCTCTGCACCTACTCTGGCCCAATCGCATTTTTACCCCTACCCTTGTTTTCGAGTGTCACCCTAACCCCTTGGAACTGAGATACAAGGGGTAGTGGTTGAAATATTGCCCTACAAAATGGGACAAGCCTCAAATTAAAAACGAAAGAACATTACTTCATTAACAGGCTACTAGCGCTGCTCTGTAGGCAACATGGCCTGTCTTCAGTAATAGCAGAGGAGGGAAAAGTTCAGCAGCCTTGCTGCTGGGCTTTAGTTGCATTTAGGGCATCATATGCCTTCAAAGAGGGGGGATAAAACATTGTAGCTCTAACACTTCACCCTACCCCTCTATCTCAACAAAAATTGGGACACCCTACCCCTAGACGTGAACGTGCAAAATGGAGGGCCAAGGACTAAGTGGTAGGGGCAAGGGGTGAAATGGGATTGGGCCTTTGTTTCCTTTGTTTCTACTCTCTTTGTCCATTTTATCAGTTCCACTTATCATATAGGTGCACTTTGTAGTTCTACAGTTACAGACTGTAGTCTCTGCATACTTTACTAGCCCCCTTTCACCCTGTGCTTCAATGATCAGGACACAGAACATGTATTATTTGAGTGGTTGCACATACTGCACACACTATTATGCCACGTCATTGGTATGCTGAGAATGGGTGTGAGTGCTGGTCTGTTTCCACTGACTGACAGGGTAGAGGTGGGTTGATAAATTCTGACGCTACAAACGGGCTACATTCAGTAACTGTAAATGTATAAAGTGCACCAGTATGGTCAGTTTTTCAGATAAAGCGGTCAAAGAGTGGAGCTACAAGGTAGCTTTACCTAATTAATTAGCAACCCAACACTTATACAAGCTGTAAAGCAGTAAAGGTGTACTGACACACTGTATCTTTACAACTTTACATGACACATAGCTTACCTTGAACACCCTCTTGTCTCATATGGTGTCTTCCTGCAACAGATGAAGTAACTTTCAATGAGACAGACCTTTGTTGTCATTTAACCTTCATAATGTAGTCTGAAACTAAACTGCTAAACCAGAAAAACAGCATATGAACATGCTGAGTGACCAGCTAAACCAGCACCAGACCAGCATAAACCAGCCTAAACCAGCTTAGACCAGCATTGAATTCATAAGAGGTTGTTTTTTAGCATGTAAAACATCAGTGGTAGGAACTTTATGAACACTCCTACTTTTGAGACATACGCATTATGGCTTCAATAACAAGCACAAAAGACTGTTCATATATTATGCCATTTGAAATAATAATTATTTTATTCATAGACTCACGTTTACTTGCTGTGTAGCAAACACATGCTGTGAACAGTAGTAGTACTACTGCTCCTCCTGATGTTCCTGCTATGATGGCTTTCTGGTATTCAGAAACAGCAGCAAGACCTGTGGGTAAATAATCCACTCAGTTGAGAATGTAAATCTGTCTTTATATGCATGCAAAACTGTATCAATTATGAAAAACACAAAACAAAATCTTTTCTTTGTTTTTTTTTATATAGACGTATTGATTAAAAATGACTAGCATATAACAAAAAAGTGTAATAAGAATGTTACTTTGTATTTTATTGCCATATGGAACTGCAATCTGTAATGCATACACTGAGTAAACACTGCCATAAGACACTGTCACATTCATCAGCCATGCATGAAAAATAACATACAAAACGGCCAAAACTGTATTTTTGAGAGAGAAGAGAAAATCAAGCTCCACTCTTAATTCAGATCTGAAGAAGTCCACAGGTGTTTCTGTCCATCCTTCCACTGTGAGAAGACAACTCAGTGCTATGGGTCTGAATGGATGTGTAGCTATAAAGAAGTCCTTACTGAGAAATAAAGAAGCTAGTGGTGCTATTAGAATAATGGACTGACCACCCCAGAGTCCAGACCTCAACATCATTGAATGTGTTTGGAAATTGTTGGAAATTGAGAAGCAGGAAATGCAACCAACTTCTAAGACTGAACTTTGGAGGTGTGGAAAACATCCTTGCAGATTTCTTTAAAGAACTGCAAGTAAATCTCATGAAAAGAAAGGAATCTGTAATAAAAGCAACAACTTTGACTAAATTATCCAGGCTGTGCCCAGTGTGTCCAGTGGCAGTGAATTCATTAACTCCCATTGTTTGCATTGTAGACTGCATTGTTGCATGCTCTTGACAAGTTATATTTTGTAATTCTATATAAAATTCATAGCACCTAAAGTGGATTCATTCATGTATTATGTGCGTTATAATTAGTGACTAATACACACACTTTCAGTAACCTTCAACAGTCAGATCTCACTATGTGAAGTGAAAAAAGACAAACAGGAAGGCTGTTCAGATACAAGTACAAAGTTTTCACGTACAGCCTTCAGTTTCCCAAAGACAAGAAAAAATGGACTTTTATAGTTAGACAAAAAAACTAAAAGAAAGTAATGGTTGCCGTATGGAAACTATGCAGTAAAGAGTTAAACCACAAGTATAGAACTATTTTTCTGTTTTAGAGCCACAGTCAGATGTAAATATAATGTACATGAATGGAAATGCAAAAACTAACCAAGCTGCACCTCCTGATAGGCAATGCTGCAGTTGATTCCCTCATGAAGCTCACAGCGGTAGAGACCCAGATCAGACTGCTGTACATTACGGAGGAGGATGGAGAAGTTTCCAGATTCTGAGAGTTTGGGGAACGTCTTAATACGTCCACCTCTGTTATTCCAGAACCCTACTTCACCCTGCAGACTGATCTCCACTAGATTATCTGCTGTTATATTCCTCCACACTGCTGCTATATCTGCAGTCTTGTTTGATCCGAGGAGGGTTGGTTTAAAGTTACATGGCAGCAGAACATCAGACTGCAGCTCAGTGGTTATGTTGCTTCTGCCAACATGCTGCATTTGACATCCTCTAGATCCTGTGTGAAAGCATGAAAACCATCATCAGCCATAAAAACCACCACAACCATCATTAAGAAACAGCTAATGTAGATGTTGATGAGAATACAGCTCACCTTTGACCAAACAGCACCACCAAAGCATCCACAAACAATAGAATCTCAGCTCAAAGAGCAGAACCATTGTGTGTTTCACCTGCTCAACGCTGAAAAACAGCCTGAGAAAGTGCAGCGATGGTGAAAGATTGTTCTCAACATCACTTCCTGAAAAAACTCAAACTAACAAACCACAGATACCCAGAAGTTGTTACCACAGAGTTGGGGATTTACAAAAATAGTTCACAATCTGTTGTCATACCCAAGACTGACGTACAAGACATTAAGCTGGAATTAGCACTTTATGTTCAGTGGGTTTATCTGAAAAGTCACTAGAGGTGATAAACAGTGATAAACGGTTTACAAATAGCTGATTAAAATCATTCTGGTTAAACACTTTTGACTTTAATCATAAATTCACATGGACCAAGAAACATACAGTACTGTGCAAAAGTCCACCTTTCACTTACATTTCCAGTCCAAACAGCAAAGTACAAGTTATTCATTTCAGGTCAAAAACAGCTGAACTGTGATTTTTTCTTAAAACTGAAAGCAGTATCATTACTGAGTCAGGAGAAAAACACTAACATCTGGTGTGTATCTGTGAGTCGCCCTGTAAAGCCTGAAATAATAACTCAGTAAGTAAAAAAGTCAGATTTCACAGGACTTTTTCAGACCACATCATACATCTTTACAAATTAATGTCACACTGGTGCGAAAAGAAGGTCTGGCTCGATGTTTAGGTCTTAAAAGCAAAATCAACATTATGCTGATTAAGACATGATAGTAGGATAGTAGATAATTGAATTACTTTTTTTCTTTTTCACATTTCTCAATGATTTTCTTTCTTGTTTAGTTGTGTCCACTTCCACCTCCTAGCTAGGTCCAGTGAGTCATCTGAGAAGTGGCACCAAATCTTGTACTGATGCAACATTATTGCACGGTTCAACACGTTTGGAGAAGAAAGCCAACTGCCAATTTTGTTACATCAGCTAACAAACGCATGCACTGGCTAGCATGGCTCGCGCTGAGTGATGGGGGAGATGGAGGGTCATTCTACCTACCCAGAGAACAAGAAGCCAATAATACTGTCTTGGACTTTCAGCCACAGATGGCTATGGCATCACTGATTACAGTTGATTTTGAAAATTAAAAAAAAAAATTAAACTTCACTTTAAGGTAAAATGTTTTACACATCTTAAAGGTCAGGCCATCAATTTTAAACTCAGAGCCCTCTGTAATATTTGACTAAATTTACCATCTCACTGGCAGCTATAATAAAATATGCTGAAGACTGAAGATTAGAGAGTGGCACCACAGCTTGGTGCTATGTGCTGATACACACAGATGCTCTTGTGGCATCTTCAGCTGAAATGTATCAATAACTAGTCCATGTTTATCAAAACTAAATTATGTCTAAATGGATTTCAGTCAGGAAACAAGGTCGGGATTCCTCAAGACCTGGACTGGACGTTCACCTTCAACATGGCACATCTCACACTCCCAAGAGAAACGACAGGAGGCCGAAGGTTAACTTTCAGAAAGGTGGAGCGCTAATCCACTTTATTGATTGGTCTGAACTTGTTGTAATTGGCTACTTAAGAGACATGGAAGCTTTAGCAAAAGTTCTGCCAGGAAGACTCTAATGCTACTCCCGACCACTCACGGGCCTACACCTGTCTTTAAAATGACTTGACTTACATACCTATTCTGCTGCTCTCAGGTGCCTACATTTTGAAGTTCCCCTCCTTCCTCCCCACCACCAGTTGGGTCCCTGTCTGGTTGTCTGGGGGTTAGGCTCTGCCCCTGACGTCTCTATTCAGCGAGGGTCTCGACACTCGAAAAACCTAGACCGATGACAGGGCCTACACCAAAGACCCTAATTTCTGCTGAAATGTTAGCTTTTAACTTGTAAATTTCCATTGAGGATATGAAAATTTGACCTCCTGACTCTTGCCTCCTGAGTCGCAGTGGCAGAAATTGTGCAATACAAACATTGTATTTCAACATCATGGGATACACAGATTTTTTCAAGTCTCCATTCTGAAAGGACAAAAGGAAAAAAGTTATCACTGTTAGTCTGAAAAAATAGACTAAATTAACTGACAAAGCAAAGATAAATGAATTAGTTTGTGTGGTCGGTAACATCATGTAATCAAACCTGATATTAGCGAGCACAGAAGCAGCCACGTCAGACAGGCAGGGCCATAAAGCATGTTCACCACGTTCCAAACAGAAATAATCATGTGTTTTTAAAACTTTCCATCCTGGAGAATATTTTTTTAAAAATGTGTTGAGTGACTTAAAACAAAGAAAGAAAGTACACTTTCAGAAATATCCATATCTGTGTGGATGAATAAGTATAATTTAGCCATGCAGTTTAGATTAAGCACAGTTCATTCCTTCAGCCAACAGTGTTTATTTTTCTAAACCAAGTCAGAGCTCTCTGAAAAGCAGACAGCGACACAGTGTTTTACCTTTTGACTGCAGTTTTACTGCAGATTTACTCTTCATGATGAGCTCTCATCCTTTTCTGTTGTGAATGTGTTTCTCTGGATCGTCACACGTGGCAGTCGCACCGCCGTCACAGGTGAGCTCAGTTTTACTCACCTAACAGGAAATCGTCTGTTTAGGTGATGTTAAAGTGTTCTCATATTTTTGACTTGTTTAATTAAAGAGGACCCTGTACTGTATTCTCTGCTCTCTGTATTTTCCCTCTTTCACTCATCTCTTGAGTGAAAACATCAAGACAACTAATCGATAAGATTCGATGGCAACAATTTTTTTATCATTATTGATAACGTTGTTTGTTGCAGCCTTAAATTTAGAGCAACCAGCAGAAAAGAAGCTTCAGTGCTTGATAAAACAAATAAATTCCCAGTTAATGTGGCTGATCAAAGAACATCCAGTAAAAAGGAGAACCGTGATGCATCATCTTGGTTTTTAGTTTTTAAGTAAAGGATCTGTGACTCTCAACACGTTTCTCAGTGCATTTTAATTAGCTGACAGGACACTGGACAGTTGTGATGTAACAAAAGCAACTGTACAATTATGATAATAATTGTTACTGTAGCCTCAACTGTAAAGTTCTCACTCCTATTATCATAATAAAGAAAATAAACATAAATATAGAATACATATAAAAAGCTGTTTGATGTTATTCAGCTTTATAAAGCCTGGATTTACAGTTTCTTCGCAGCTACGTCTTTTTTCTCTCCCAGTTGACATAGATTGAGTTTTCTTGTGTTGGATTTTGACCTAGGAAAGGAGAGAGAGAGCAGAGTTAGTGTGGCAGCTAACAGCGTTTTCATCATTACAGGTCAAAGTGAGTTGAAATACAGCAGCATTGAAAAGTTGGGAATCTATGTTTTCAGTGATATAAAAGCAAATATAAAAGGATCCCAATATGTCAGTCCTGTACAACTGATCAGAAGCTGTAGAAAATTCTATAATGACTGCAGAAACTGGGGGGGGGAGTGGGGTTGGTTGGCACAGTGTTCATTTCTGGTCAGAAGGGGAAACTCTCACAAAAATGTAATTAAAAAACAACTGCCCTCTTGACCCACATTCATCCATTTTGTCAAGAGCTCTTGTCAAAATATCTCCTTGAGTAAATATATCACAGAAATGTTTTTTTAAATATTTGTATTAAACATTTTTTTGGCAAAACAAAGATATTATCATGTAAATGGCATAACTATAAAAAAAACATGACTAAGGAGAAAAAAATAATACATAAATGCATAAACAGAAAATAAAAAAAAAAACAGTGGGCACTTCATGGACATCCTAAGCAGAGATACAGTTATACACACATACAGCTAAACTTTTACCATCAAACATAAACTTTACAAGAGGAAAAATAGAAGATATTGCAAGACAACTAGCACTTTTTCCAAGCTACATCCTGGAGCCCAGAAATGAGTTTTTTGGCTTTCTCATTGCCCAGATAGTCCAAGTAAGGGGTCCATATTTAAAATAATAAATATGGCTGGCCTTTCAGGGCTGTAGTTACATAATTATAGAATATTATTCATCATTTTATTCACTTCTTGTTCATAGAATTCTTGAAGTATTGAATAAAACAATCTAAAATACATTTGGTGAATAGTTTGTAATTTTATGTCATTTTTAAATTCACACTGTGTTATTATAAGTTTTTTTGAGCATACAATGAAAAAAAAATTGTTAATATCGCAAATGATTCCAAACTATACAACAACTTTTAGGGGAACAACATTTCACAGTCCATCAAACACAATGTCTCCAACACCTACAAGATACCATCAGTCATCTTACAGTCATATCAATCCTACTGAAATACTCACAGCACCCTCTGCTGGCATTCTTCATTTTTCTGACCTCCATGTCGTTCTCTATGCAGGACATAGAACAACATAAGCATCCTCTGATAATTAGTGTAAATGCAGCTTTAATTGCATTGTAAATACACTATATGCCCAAAAGTTTAGACAGCGCTCATCTAGTGTTTCTTCTGAAATCAAGGGAGTTTGACCCTGTTTGCTGTGGTAACAGCCTCTACTCTTCTGGGAAGGCTTTACACTAGATGTTGGAACATTGCTGTGAGAATTTGACTGCATTCAGCCACAGGAGCACTAGTGAGATCAAGTACTGAGGTTGGATGATTAGTTCTGGATCACTCCAACTCATGGTACTGGATGGAGCTCAATCACTCCAGAGAACTCCTAACACTTGGCATTGGGCATGGTGGTGACCTCACATGCGACCACTCCAGATCTACTGGCATCTATTTTCTGAAGATTCTGAATTCACAAAATAGAAGGAGTGTCTACATACTTTTAGACAGATAGTGTAGAACATAGCTTTGCAATAAGTTTTACCGTAAATAGCCTCTTCTTTTGAGTCTCTTTTGCCTGAAGTTTAAATCAGGAAAAATCACAGCGTCATTTTGGTCTGGTAGGCACAACATGAAAATGTGAATTAAGCAAGAGACTTACTTTCATGAAAATAAGTATTCGTATACAAAGCGTCTGCTGTATCTCCTGAAACATGAAAGAAAAGCACTATTAAGAGCATGTTGGGACAAAAATATATCCGTCAAAGAGGCCCAGCACTAAGGAATGAAGATCACATACTTCTTCTTCGTTGCATACAGCACAAAGACACCAACAACAGGCAGAGTGCAACTGCTGCACCAAGCAAGAAATGCCAGTATTTCATGGAGCTGTCTTCAGAGAGATAGAAGTGGTTTAGACATCACTTCTTATCGCGACTGGTCAAAAATCAGCAACTGACAGTGTGTGTTAGCAGGAGGGATGGTTTAGATTGAATCAGTTGCTTCTTACCTGTGCTTACATAAACGTCCTGATAAGCAAGTGTACAACTGTTCCCCCTGAACAGCTCACAGCGGTAGAGACCCAGATCAGACTGCTGCACTTTATGGAGGAGGATGGAGAAGTTCCCAGATTCTGAGCTTTCCGGGAACGGCCTAATGTTTCCATTTCTTACTTTACCCTGCAGCTTGATCTCAAGTAGATTATCTGTTGTTATGTTGCTGTGACTCCACACTGCTGCTATATCTGCAGTCTTGTCTGATCCAAGAGTGGCTGGTTTGAAGTAACACGGCAGTAGAACATCAGACTGCAGCTTGGTGGCTATGTTAATTCTGGCGAGTGGCTTGCTCCTACACAAAGTGACACCTGTACAAGCCAAGCACAACATTTTTTAATGTAAATCAACAAAAAATTAACACAGTAAAAGGAAACCCTTAACAACAGGGCTGCAGAGAGATTTTAATTGGCCCGTGGGCTCTGTTTTAGAGTGTGTTATAAGTGGCCCACCAGCCAGTACGTTGCAGTTTTTCCTTTCATCTGATGGTGGTGTAAAATTACAGTGTAATGCACCGTAATGTGGTAACAAAGTAAGCCAAAGTTTAAGAGCCTTTTCTTCTCTGACTAGACCTGCAGCTTAATTTACTAAATGACATTTAGTCAAGACTTCAGCCAGAAAGCACAAACTTACATTAAGATAGAGATAGAAATTTGAATACTTTTCCATTGAGAGCCACAGCAAATGCATGTGTTTCATATGTTAAAAGACTGTAATGAATTTAATGTCAAGAGACATGACACAAAGCAAGGGCATTATAATAAATATTCAGGAGAAGGCAGAGAAACTAGAGCAACTGCAGGCTAATCATAGCAAATTCAATAGGTCAGTAATTATAAGCCCTTCAAGGCCATGGCTATTTATGCCGTTTAATCTGCTCTTCTTGTTTATTAAAGTGATTTCTGAACGATGTTGCTGCATTTATTTGATCTGTAAAGAAAATGATCTAACATAGCTGAAAATTTAAAGATGTTTATTTAGCTTGTGCCCTGTGAGGGACTGGTGGCCTGTCCAGGGTGTTTCCTGCCTTCCACCCATTAAGCCCTGGGATAGGCTCCAACACCCCCCACAACCTAGGAGGATAAGCGGCTTAGAAAATGTGTGTGTGTGTGTGTGTGTGTGTGTGTGTGTGTATGTGTGTATTTAGTTTGTCTCACAAATTATATTTTTGAACAACTAAATTATATTTTGAACAACTCGTGAACAGTAATATACTTAATACATTCGTCACATTTTAGTGTTACTCTGAAAACCAAATCAATAATTTGTTATAAGCACTTGCAATCCAAATTGCTCTGATTGAGCAATCCAACAATAAATGAAGCCTTGTGTGTAATGGGGGGGCTGGCTGGCCCTATGTGAAATTCAAACCTAGGCCTCTAACGGCAGAGGCCAGTATGCTATGGGGCAGACCACCGAAAGGGAACAGAAACAGGCCCAAAGGCAGAACTGCACTCAGGGGCACTTTATGATAATAATTTAAAGGAGAAGTGCCATTTACCCGAACTAGTACTGTTTAGTCTGATTTATCAAGCTAATGTCAGCAGCTAAGCTAAGAAAAGCTAACAAGTCAGGTAATTGATCTTCTTTCTTGTAAATGTTTAGCTTCCCTAAGAGTTAGCATAAGTCTGTCTATTAATAGTTTATGTTTTAATCCAAACATTTTCAGTAACAGGAATGAAATGAAATTAACATGACCCTTATCTGGCGATCAGGATAGCATGTGTCAGGCATTATATGTTCCTCCGCAAAACCTCACCATCTGGCCTAATAATGCTAATTATACTGCCACCGCCATGCTGATATACTGCCACCACCATCCAATGCAGAAATCACTACAACTTTGTTCTGAGTTCTGTCAGAGGCTGTGTACTATATAGTGCACCAGTTAATACTGTATACTGCATGCTGCTCTTCATAGTAGTGTGTAGCATTCAATATACAACAAAAGCTGTATGCTGTACCACTAGGTATGGCTAGGTAAGGGGCATGGCTAGATTGTCATCATCAAACCCGCCCCATTTTCCTTAGCCTTCCAATCATTTGCTTAGCGACCGTTGCTAGCCACTTCTTTTGGAAACACCACTGGATATATTTTGGGCAAGAGATGTGTCTGCTGAGTTTTTAAGTATGTTTTCCAAATTTTGCTAAAAGGTCAGTCATTTAAATTCCCTTACATTTGTAGGTGGAAATATGTTTGGCTGAAACCAACCTTATCAAGTTAACCATGTTATCTGTGCAGCACGTTAACTTTATTAAATAGACAAACTAAGCAAACCCACCATTCATATCAGTTACATACTACATACTTCTTACTACTTTTGGACACAGTCAGTATGCGAGCAGTATGTAGTAATCTTTTTCAAAAACAGCCAGAGCTTTTTTTGTTGGCTTGATGAGGCCTCAGATGTTCAGAAACTGCTCTATGGCTCAGATATTTGGGACAAAATATACAACAACTGATTAAAATACAATTACACATCAAATGACAGCTCTTTAAAGAAACATGAAACCTACTGAGATTGAGCTCCTGATAGGCAATGCTGCAGTTAATTCCCTTGAACAGCTCACAGCGGAAGAGACCCTGGTCTGATAACTGAGCTTTATGAAGGATAACGGAGAAGTTATCAGATAAGGAGTGTTCGGGGAACGACCTGATTCGTCTGTCTTTCGATTCCCAGTGTCTGGTGTCGCCATCAATCTCAATCCTAAGCAAGTCAAACGCAGCCGTATTTATCTGACTCCACACCACCACTATATCTTCAGCCTTGTATGATCTGAGGAGGGCTGATTTAAAGTAACAAGGCAACAGCACATCAGACTGCAGCTCAGTGGTTAATGTTGTGTTGGAAACCAGTTCCCTTCTGCATCCGTTCAAACCTGTAGAAACTGGAGCACATAAAACCATTATTGCACTGTAGCTCAGCTATTGGATGCTCTTCTATGTAAGACTATGATGGAATATTTTTCATACATATTTTACAGTAGGTTGTCCGTAATCTTTTTGTTCCTGCTTACTCAAGTTACCTTTTCACATTTTTATTTAATCCCTTATGCTCCTTTATGCACATCTTAAAGGCGTATTAGTCAAAATTGAAGATACTCGACCTCTAGCAGTTAAATAGGAGAGCTACAATAACACCCATCTACACAAAGCATGCCCCTAGAATTGATTGTCCCCTCCGGAGTTTGTTTAGAATTTGCTAGCATGTCCAAGGAAGGTCATGAGTTCACTTTCTAGCAACGAAATAGGCTGTTTATTTACTCCTGATACTTCTTTGTACAGTGACACCATTTTGCCAAAGCAGGCATCAAACTCCTTTGCCTCTTTTGTCCGGGGGAAGTAGAAAACTTACAACGTTCATAAAGATTTGCTGCTGCGAGAATAGAGTGTCTTTGCTGTTTTTCTTTGTAATGAGCTCCCAGACGTTTTTCGGTGAACTGTGACTACCAGGCTAAATATCATCTCTACAGCAGCATTTTAGGTGGAATGGAAAGTTTTAATATGAAGCTAACTTCAGCCTCGTCTAGTTAACTCTGTTACCTACACAAGAGTTTAATGCAGTTGACTAGCAATGCATATGTCACTCTGAAGGTGTTTAATTTAAAGCATTACTTTATTGGGCTCTCTAAGTGATAAACATTTGTCTACTTGACTTGTTTTGTAAAGCCAGCCATTCACTCAGTTCAACACTTTCATGTTTCATGTTTATATACCCGTCCAGGAGGAACATCACTAAATCTGCATCCAACTTTGTCCCCTCTGCATATAATAATTCTCTTGGAAAAGTGCTTTCAGGGTTGATTATTGTGTTATGTTTCTTGTTGTTATATTTTTTAGCAGAACAGCTTTTTTCCCCTACAGTATTAGAACCTTCCGGCTCAGGTCGCTAACCAGATTCCGCCATGTTTTCTTAGCTGAGCAGACGGAGATGATGTGATGCAGGAGAAGGCTTATAAAGTAACAAGCAGGAAGTACAGCTTTTCAAACAGGGTTTCTCAGACACATAATGTGCTTGTGCAGGTATTTTTTCATCATGTTCAACATATTTTCCAGGTTATTTGTACTTGTAATAAAATAAAACAGACTAATGTACCTTTAAGGCTTAGTATTCAGCACTAATATGTAAACGATGCAAAATGATTGAGTTAATATTAAGCAATAAGTGTGAGCAACAGAAGTTTGGACCCAGTCCATGAATGAATCTGTCCGATATTAGATATGAGAATATGGTGGATAAGAAGTTCAGTATGAGTGTAAGGCAGATTTACAGTAAACTAACAAGTCAGAAATTAATGCGGGCACTCTTACATAACGCTAAATAGTTACTTACCTTTGATAAGAGTCGAGAGGAGCAGCCCCAGGAGCCCAAATTCACTTGCTGATTTCATTTTAAGTTCTCTGACAGTCCAAAACACAATAACAAGTGAAACACAAAGAGTGACTTGTCGCCTGAATCATGCTGTGGTGTTTGCTCTTTAACCTACATCTGAACACTGTGAGTGGCTTTGTCTGGGGGTCGATTAAGGAAATCCTGTGACAGACCTTCTACTGTTACAGTGCACACATGAATAAGGTTCTGCAGGTGCAATCTGACAAGAAAGCACACAAGCTGCAAAATTTTGGTGGATTTATTAGGGGTCCAAGCACTGAATGTGCTGTTGTTTTTGTAAAAAAACATTCTTCTTGTTATTATTTTACTTCTCTAAAATGAATCATGCAGACTAAATCATAAGTCATACAGATATGAAACTTGAACAATAGTAGTAGTCTCTCTCACTATTTAGGCAAGCATGATGAGCCAGATCAGCCTGACAGGAGCAGAACAGCACAGTGTGCTTTACATTTTTGACCCATAATTCCCACTCCATGAGTCATACAGACAAAATTCATGTTCCTGATTCAGCATCAACAATCATAAATAAATAAAGACCTTTTTAAAACTTTTTTTCTCTTTCATTTATCTTTTGTCTGCAAAACAGCATAGTGCTTGGGCCCCGTAATTGCCACTTACAGCTATATTGTTGTTAGAAGTAGCACTATTAATATTATTATTATAATTAGTAGTAGTAGTAGTTGTAGTAACTATCATTATTATTATTATTATTATTATTATTATTATTATTATTATTCATTCCAAACCCTAAGTCAGATACTCACCTGTCATGGACCCATAAAACTATAATAAAAGAGCGTCCAAACCTCCTCCTCCCTCCCATCTGACTTTAAATACATTTTAACCTTTATCTTCTGTTTCTCTGTGAAGAATTTTTGGCACCTCACCACCTCCCCAACTCCTCCCTGTTCCTCTATGTTGACAGCTTAAAGCAGAAGCCACCCAGAACTCCAGCCCAGGTTCTCAGAGTTCTCTTCACTGTTACAGTCATGCGTTCTCTTAGCTACGTTGAAGGAGTGTTCCAAACTTTGAAAATCAAGTGAAAATTAAATCCACTGTCGTTAAATCTAACTGTAATACTGTAGTATAAAACGTCATGCTAAATATTCTTAGCTTCCTATTTAATAAACACTGGGCCGAATGCTTATTCACTGCTAACACACAACCAGCATTTTCTTGGTTATAATGAGAAAGGACTCAAAATGCTAATAGACCATATCACTAACTTTGAGTCTGGACACTGTATTCTGACTATGCAAACTAAAGCTCAGTCTCAGAGAGGACTGCAAATAATAATAAAAACAGTTTATAATGGAAATGGAATGGAAATAAGCTGTTACTGTTTTAATATTATGGTATACTCACTACAAGAGGAGATGCACTTACTTGCAGTTTAGAACATGTGTTGGCATCAAGCTAACACCTACCTTCACACTCACCCCCACCCAAACAATGATCTCAGGTATTACAGAGTGCGTATCACGATAACGCCCATCCTGTTTATCAGAGATTAGATCTATTTTCACCAATGACACTTGCAAACTGACACTTAATCAGGTCTTGAAAGATTTTTTTTTTTCCAAAGTAGCAAAGGTTGTTTTTAGGAGAGCATCTACCATAGAAGACAGAATTGTTCAAATCTAAACAAGGCTTGAACACAGATTTTGGCCCATACAATTGTGGTTCATGCAGCCTTTGCGAGGGTCCACTGTAAAAAAAAATTAAGGTAAACTTTTTAAAGTAACTGATTAAACAGCTTTTCTTGAGTGAACTCGATTTGTTTACTAGAGTTCATCCAACACAAACCACATAGTTTAGTCAGAAGTTCTCCTAACTCACATTTTTAGAACTGCATCTCAGTAAGGTAAAAAAAAAATAGAATTTACTTTGCTTAATTTCTCAGTGAGCTCCTTCCATAGTCCCACCTTCTCTTCTGCGTCTCCCGGTTATGGAATTTTGTTGCATCACTGGGGACCAAACTCATGATCTCCTGGTGTCAGAATGCTGCTTACATGGTTGCTGCACATGAATGTCTCTTCTACTGCGAGCACAGCGCCTCCCAAGAACCTCTTCACATGGCCATTTTGCATGGCCACACCTCCCAAGCCAGTAACAGATTACCACGTAACTCTTTAAAGGTCAGCTGTCCCAGTGACCCCACAGAGCAGAGTCCTCGGCCATGCGCGCCCCCAGTCCTCTCTCAGGACCGCGTCCTCTCCCTCAGTACATCACAGTGGAGAAACTAAGCACTGCATCCACCTCCCTGGGTGCGGCAGAACTCCTCACATGCTGCTCGTGTGCACTGGGGCCCTAACACTTTGCCCGAAATCTCTTATCCACAAGAGTATTTAGATCCTTTGCTGTGAAACTCCAAATTGTGGTCATGTGCATCCCGTTTGCTTCATTTATTCTTAAGGTGTGTCTAGACTTCAACGATGCAATTTGAATTGATCCGATTCCACACTTTTGCTGCATCGTCAGGACAAAACCATGCCATGAAGTCCAAGGAACTGTCTGTGGACCTCTGCAAAATTGTGCTAAGGCATAGATCAGACCAAGAATAATAAGAATAAAAATATTTTTGAAATGCAAGAAGCTTAGCACAATCTTAAACCTTTCTAGAGCTGGCCGTCCAGCCAAATTGGACATCCAGGAAATAAGGGACTTGGTCAGAGAGGTAAGAAAGAACACGGCGGTCACTTTAAAAGAGATCCAAAAGATCCAAAAGTCCTGTGCAGAGATGGGGGAACCTGTTGGACTACTATCTCTGTAGCACTTCATTAAATAGGTCTTTATTGCAGAGTGGCAAGATGGAAGCCACTATTGAGTAAAAGGCATATAACAGCCTGCTTGGAGTTAGGTAAATGGCATGTAAAGGACAAGGAAAAGGAAAAATTGAACTCTTTAGGTAAAACAGCAAGCACTATGTCTGTTGAAAAACAGGCACTACACATCAGCTAGCTAACACCATCCTTACGATAAAGCATGGTGGTGGCAGTATCATGCTATGTGGGTACTCCTCATCAGCAGAGACAGAGTACCTGGGAAGAATTGAGGGAGAGATGAATGACAAATACTGGAAAACCTCCTCCAGAGCACACTGGGGCAACAGTTCATCATACAGCATACAGCCAAAACAACACTGGGGTGACTTCAGGGCAAGTCTCTGAATGTCTTTGAGTGGCTCAGCCAAAGCCCAGACTTAAGCAAACACCTGTTTAGAGACCTGAAGATGTCAGTTCAGAGGTGCTCGGCATCCAATCTGCGATTGAGAGGATTTGCCATTAAGGACAGGATAAACTGCCCAAATCCAGGTGTGCAAAGCTTGAAGAGATGTGTCCAAGAAGAACTGCAGCTATAATTTCTACCAAAGAGGCTTCTAAGAACAAAAGGTCTGAATACTTTTGTGATTTCAGTTTTCAATTTTTAACTCATTTTCAAAAAAAGCTCTAAAAACTAAGTTTTCACTTTGTTGTTATGGGTAAATCAGAGTAAACCGATGGGTGAAAAGGGCAATTATATACATTTAAAATCAAATCCACAACACAATACAAAGTGTGCAAAAAGTTAAGTTGTCTGAAAACCTTCTGAATCCACTGTAAACATAACTTTACATGAAAGTTATATATAGACTATCAGGTGACAACATTTCATTGTCCAGCTCTTGAGAACATCAGTGATACCAGCAGCAAAATGTATGTGAAGAGATGACAAATAAATGGATCAGTTAATATCTTTAATATCATTTCAAGTCAATAACTTATCATGGACTTAATTTCTATAAATAACTGGAAAATTATTTAATGTACCAAGAATTTCTACCAGAAACTAGTTTAAATTTTACCCACCTTTGTGTATATAAATAACATGGCAGGTACAAAGCCGGAAAAACGGCCACATCCTCTGCTGCAAAAAAACGTGCAACTTTATGTGTGAAAAATGTTGCAGAGCAAAAGAGAGAGCTAACAAGACTCAAACCATACTCTTACAAAACCGCTTCGAAACACAGCAATCAGCAAAAAGAGGAAAAGCTTTTTTCTTTGTTATATAAATCCTCTAATTTCCAGACCAATTCAGATTTTAAACTAATTTGAATGCACAGTAGTGCTATGCCTGCACCCTCATCTGATTTCAAGATGGCAGCAGGTCATCAGACCGCAGCAAGGGCATGACAAGTCACCTCTGGGCCCGTATGCAGACATTTTGGGCCGGGCCCTCTTAGTCTGAGACACAAACTGGCAAATCCAGCAAGGCCTGACATAAGACAAGATTATAATGATAAAATAGAAAAATGTCTTTGTATTATATATCAATGGATTTAACAACTACTCATCATTTTTAAAGAACCTAGTAACATTCAAACTAGTTATTTAGAAGGAAAGTTCAGTCCAGTTTACTGATACAGGTCAAATGACTGATTAAACGATGCATTCACAAATCAATTTTATCATATCAAGCTTTTAGAGAGGTTGCTTATTTCATACCATTATTGAAATATAGAAAAAATGGCCAAAAAAGTTGGTGCAAACTTCACTGAAACTATGAATGAATTACTCACCTTTCAGCAAATATAGGAGTTTAGCTGATAGTGAAGCTCGCAGACAGATGAATCTAAAGCTGACAAACTTTTTATTTACTTTCTGCTTTGGCAAGAGAAAAAAAAAACACTCTGTCAGGATATGGAGTGTTTTTTTTAAGTCTTCCTTTTTTTGACCAGATCTCCACATCAACTTAGCCGGTGTGTAAATAACCTTAAGAATAAGAGGCGGCCTTAGTCTGCTAGGAAGCAGAGACAATCCCCTTGACTCCAGTCTTCTGAGAAAAAAAACCTTCTCCATGCCGTTTGGGGTGCACCATTGTGTGTAGATACCATTTGATTTACTCAGAGTCCTGACTGTGTTTCAGCAGCTCATGAACAGAATCTGGGCGGCACGGTGGCGCAGTGGGTAGCGCTGTCGCCTCACAGCAAGAATGGCCTGGGTTCGATTCCCAGCTGGGTGACCAGGGTCATTTCTGTGTGGAGTTTGCCTGTTCTCCCTGTGTCTGCGTGGGTTTCCTCCCACAGTCCAAAGACATGCA